CAAAATAGGTAACAGAATAATCACATTTTATAAGTTACCACTTATTATTGAATTGCTTATCGAGACACACCTGCACAGGTTCATGAATCCGACAATGGGATCTGATCGGAGCCGGCCAGATCCCACAGCATTCTGATTGAATCCCCTCGCATCTTATAAGGATCCGATAGGAATACATCGAATGCCCGGGTTAAGTAATCCGACTCGGATCCCCAGGGTCGAAATCGATGATGGCGGATTCGGATTTCTGGACCTCAATAACCTATTTCAAACTTTGATCAGAATTCAGATCGGAGTTGAAATAAAAAGTCTAACTTTGCAGCCGTCGAATTTTTGATGGACCCAATTTCTGACCAATGGGAGCTCGGATCGAAAAAATGATGACGGATTCGGATTCCTAGACCTCGATAACCTATTTCAGATTTACATTAGTTAAATCATGTTCAGAAAATATCGCATCTTGGGTTTAGCTAGAACCATTTTGGAAAAATGATTCAGCGTAAAAAAAATGGTGCAAGACAGAACCCTTTCAAACACCCGGAACTATGCATGATCTGAAATGGTTCTTTAAAGTCGCTAGCCCTCGATGGTTTATTAATAAACGAATAAAACCTTGAAAGGTTTAGTATCTTCGGTACAAGCATTTTTGAGTCCAAATGGTTCAGTATGACGCCTTTTTTTCGAGAGTATGAAATGTTTAAATCATCGGGAACCCTTTAAAATGTTCAATGAAAGTTCGGACTCCTATTTTATTTGACTGTGACACCATTTTCAATTTAGGTATTTTCGTAAATCCGTTTTCGATTCTTATAATACCCTTTTGAAATTGGGTTTTTCGGAAACCGTTCAGGAAATGAAAAGGTACTTTCGCATACCCTTTCGGATACTAACTCAGTTTTTCTTCTAATATGGGTTTTCGACAATACCTTTCCAGTTTCCGAGACAACATTTGGGTTTCCGACAGCAAGAAAAAGGTATTCTAGAATACTTTTAGAGTGTCGAATTGGGGAGTGTAGGAAACCTCTAGGTTTCCGAACGTTCGGAAACCGAAAGAGTATTTTTAGAAACGCTTTCACTGTTCTGAAACCCTCTCGAAAACGGATAAGGATTTCCGAGTGGATTTCCGAACCCCCTTTCGGTTTTCTAGGATACGGAAATTTTTTAGAGTGTATGAATAACTATTCTATGAAGACCACAATAATGAAGAATAGGGTGCACAGAATGGTTAGGACTATTCCAGAAATAATAAATGCGGAAACTTCGGATTGGAATCCGAGAGTTATGTGTACTTCAAAAAGTGAATCATACAAATCAAACATCCTAGACTGTCTGAATATCAAAATTATACTGTGAAATCTACCATTTAAAATGTTGATTTCTATTGCCCGTTGCCAAACCAATAGGACATGGGACCGAATACAGCTCAAGCTTGAACTCTTTCCCTTGATTTAGCCTAAGAAAGTCGTTTTTCCTGTAACTTCATTTCTATTGGTCACTGCACAACTAATAGTATTTCGATGAAAGTGTAGTACACATTCGAGTTCTCCATATCTGAAAACCTCGAAGTATCATCAGTGTGACCGGAAGATAAAGCTCTATTTGTGGATCAATTAGATCGTGGACCAAAATACAACCTAGTTCTCTTTAATTATCCTTGTCTTAGGTAAGTCAACCTTCTTGTTTCCTTATGTTTTATATATCATTTTGTAGTACTTGAAATTCTCTATCGAATGGTATATAATAGTTGGGGTTTTAATTGACTATGATAGGAAAAGTCTTTTACGAAAGTCGCGATGGGTCCATTTTTCCACAGAAAGCTATAGGGAAAAATGGGTATTTTTGCAATAACTCAGGAACGGCTCGGCCGGTCCTTCTCATCTTCTTCTCTCGACCGAGATATTGTCAAGACGAAGCTGTGTAGAAAGTTTCATCGCAATCTGACTCTGCTGCCAAAAGTTATCATGTAAACAGCCAACCGGACGGACGGACACACTGACTATTCTATAGTGTACTCACTTTTTGAGTACACAAAACTATGATTCGGTTCAAAACTAATATCAGATTCAGAATCAGCGTTAAAAACTGAGTCGATTTATGTATTTTGTGAATAATTATGAGCAAAAAATGTTTTTTCGAAAAATCCCCGTACCCCCACTCAGGGATGGTCTGGTCAAAAATCACAATTTTTTCGATAACTTAGCCATTTCTTGACGGATCCTTCTCATCTTCGAACTCGACGTAGATATTGTAAAGACTGAACTGTATAGAAAATTTCATCGTGATCGGACTCCCCTTTCGAAAGTTATCGTGTAAACGGCCAGAGGGACGGCCGGACTACTGACCGATTCTAGAGTGTACTCACTTTTTGAGTACACAAAAAGATTTTGAGAGCTCTCATTGTGATATTCTTAACCAGTACCTCTCAATCTACAACTATATCTGACTTTGACTCGTGAAAAAAAAAATTTTTTTTTTCGTGATACCTGAGGGGGACCCCAGGCACAAAAATCGTCAATGTTGATTTTCGGGGAATAAAGTTGAAAAAAGTGATCAGAGACGTTCCCGCTTTCCACAAGTCAGAAACGCTCACGCTCATGAGCGCTCACATGAGCGTGAGCGTGACCGCTCATACCGCTCACGTGAGCGTGAGCGCTGGTACCGCTCACGCTCATGTGAGCGTGAGCTGTACACCCCTACATGTGAAACTTTCGTATAGTCGATACATAGGTTGAAAATATTTGAAAATTTTTTAAACGAGCAGTTTGTATTTGTTTATTCGATAATCCGAATGCTGTTATCTTCGTCTGAGACGAGGTTTCCATCCATTATGTGAAACATGATGCTCAAAAACAGATTGACGTGAAAATCGAGTAAAAAAAACATTATTCAGTTTTATTGTTTGGAATATTTTTACAGATTTTTGAATGAGTGGTTTTTTTAAAGAAAATCTTGACATAGATTCTGAGAAAGGTTCAAAGTATGGTTAGACTTGCTCAGGAAAAATTTCTTCTATGCATCAGTAAGTTTTGCTAACTTATACAAATGATAGAATGTGTTTCCGATAATTGCTGGAATTTTCATTAAATTGATATCAATATATCAATAACTATTGTCAAGACTCAGAATCTGCTCCTCTTTCTAGGATTTGTATACATGGTATAGTCCAATAAACTTTATAAATTTTTCTTTGTCATTGAGAATTGTTTGTAATATTGCGAACTGTATCTACAGTATGTCGCTTGTTGTCAGAAAACTCTTTAGAAATGTCATAGAATGATGACTGTCTGCGTAGATATTTCATGTTATCGCTGTTTTCATATGATTTGTAGCTTTGGAAATTAGAAAATGAATCACTTTTGTACAATATTATAAAAATAACTTAAAAATTCAGTAAACAGTAACTTTTATTTCAGAGAAAAGTAGCTAGGTTAGGATCGGCTTCTTAATTCTAAAGTTCCTGTTTGATCACTTTTATTCTGCAAATATTCGTTAGTGACAGTAAACATATCAATTTGGAAATGAATTTCTAATTAATTGTTTTTAAAATTTATTTTTTTTTGTACAGTTTCGTTGGAAAAGGTGTAAAAGACTATCGCGCTAGCTTCTGTCTTATCTTTTTAAAAAGGAAGACCCGTTTATGTTTATTGTAAAGAAGTTTTGATTTTTATTTCTATTTTGGATCATTCAGAACGTAACATAAGCTTAAAGATTTGATTACGCAACAAACAATTAGTATGCAAAAAAAGTTCTGATGAAGAAAAACTTTCAAAGTATGAACTTATCGAAAGTCAACTCTTCGACTGATAATGAGTCATTCTGTACATTGAGCACGCCTTTGTAGAAAAAGTTTGTTTTAAAAAAAGATAGAAAATACAAATGCATCTAATATTAAAACTTATCTTGTACTTTATAAAGCAAGTATTATTAAATTGTATGAACTTACAATTTTCGTGAAACTCACCACAAAATTCGTTTTACTTTGTCTTTGAAGACTGATGTCATAATAGTTCGAAAAAGTTCAGAGCTCAACAAAAATTTGTAAATAGAAAAATTAGATACATTCAGACATTATTTATGCAACACGTTAGTTTTCTTTGATCCTGTTTTTGTATAGAGCTATTTAGCCAATGTCACGACTAATACTATGCGACCAAACAAAGAAACAATAGGATTTTCGAGAAGTTTGAATTTACACCCGCTATCTAAGCAAATAATATCGAGCGAACTTTGAGACAATTAAACTAGGTTCTAGATCACAATTCTAAGCATTGCACTGATCAGTTAATTATATAAAAATCACTCGTTACCCATTCGTTTTGAAAGATTCAATAGCATTTCTGCCAAACTACATTGAGTCATATAGAAAGTACGTGCCATTATTCTGTTTCAAGGTCAATGTACATATCATCCTATGTAACGTGAGAATTCATATCAAGTCAATGAAATTTCTATTTATTTCAGTTCTAATGCTCAACCATCAGAAGCAGTACTACCATCACAAACAGATGGCTCACATAATGTCGGATCAGAAGATACTCAACAAAATGCCGAATCAATGAACAAAGGCCAATTACAAAAGAAACAAAATAAGCCTCGGAACACTGACAATTCGTTTTGTTGTTCCATGTGTGATAAGAAGTTCTCCACGGATGCTGGTCGCCTTGATCACGCAAGAGTCAAGCATAAAGTCGGAGAGCAAATTGATCTTGATAGTTTGACACTAAAAGATGATTTGAAATGTCACTCTGAGTTAAAAGAGTTCGAAAGTCAGCCAAATCTTGATCTTATTACATTTGATCATGGTAGTGACGGTTGTGACACATCACAATCGAGTTTACCAGCAACAATAACAGAAACTGGCAGTCTCATCCAATTTGATGATGATGATAATAGTGCTGGTGATTCTTTTAATACGTAGATCAAAGATCAATGGCAGGTTCTAGAGAATCGCTAGAGCCACTAAGAACTGGTAGAAATCGATTCGTTCAAAAAATGTAATAGTAAACCTCTCCGTGTAATAAAGTTCTAAACTTTCTTCATATGTTCGAGTATGTAAAATGTTTCGAGGATTTTTTATTACGGAGAGATTT